CCGGGCTAACTTGAGAATCCCAAAGTGGCTTTCGTGTCCGCCTTGGCCTGCCCCCTGCGGCTTCAATTTCCCTAACATTTTTCTCTACCCGGTATGTTTCCCCAAACTTTCCTCCAACGATATTCCTCCCTCATTTCTCCTGGCCTCTCCCCACAGTCCGCGTCCGAGTCTGTTTGTTCTAGCGTTCACTTTCGCTTTCGACCTTAGAGATTTCTCCCAGCTTCCCCCCGTAGTCCGTATCTGAGTCTATGCCTAGGCTTTCAATAGCTTCTTCCGGCACCCTTTTCGTCCGGCTTTTCCCTAGGCTGTTTGCTAGTCTCTCTCTCCGGTATTTTCCCAGTTCTTCCCTCTTAAGTTTGCTATCCGACCTAGGTTTCCTAATCCGAGTCACTTCTTCCCTCCTAAGTTTCCTATCCGCCCTAGGTTTCCTATCCGAGTCACGGCACCATTATGTCGCTCCCCCTCTTCATGGAGGAACGACACTAAACCCTGCGCTGTTCTTTCGTCTGCTTGGCCCTCCCCGGGTTTGCTGCTGGTTCTTCCCGGGTTGGCTACTATCCCTTCCACCTCCGTGGAAGGGCAGTTCCCCCTGGCCACATTCCCCACTTCCGCAGGGGAGCGGCACACCGCCGGCCGGCTCTCTCGGGGGCTGCACAGGTGTTCCTTCAGCTAGATGTTCCCCTTAGATGTTCCTGGTGCATGCCGTCTCTCTCCTCCTTTATAGTCCTCCTCTGCCAATCCCAACTCGGCTGCCCACACGCCGAGTACGCTGCTCTCCAATCAGGGGCAAGTCCTACAGTTTATTGGTTGAACTGGAGGCAGCTGTGCGGAAGCTGTTTACTTCTCTCCCAGCGCCATATTGTGGGAGAGCAGATGCATAGAATAAGTCTTAATTCCAGTAACTCAGTCTAGTCCGGGTTGCTCCCCACACGATCCTCACTCGTGCGGGAAGATGGCTTCTGACAAGGCTGCCAAGACCATGCCGCGGGAAACGACATCTGTGTGTACGGTGCTGGGAACCACCGCCCACGCATGGGGATAAAGCCGGCCTTACCCACACGTGCAGACACAAAGCCAAAGTGGGTCCCTGACCTCAGACCTAAAACTTCGCAATTCTGAGAAGAAACACAGCAACGACTTCACCACGCTAGATCTGTCAGTGATTTATTGGACACGACACAAAAAGCAAAAGCAACACGAGAAAAAATAGACGGATGGGACTTTACGAAAATTTTAAAGGTTTGTGCATCAAAGACACTGCCAACGGAGCAAAAAGGCAGTCCAGGAAATGGGAGAAATTATCTGAAAATCATGTATTTGATAAGGGATTATATAGAAAACTCCTAAAACTCAACAAAAACTTGATTTAAAAATGGGGCCAAAGAGTTCCACAGAGGATTCTCCAAAGAAGACGTGCAAATGACCAATAAGGGACAGAAAAGACGCGATCGCTAGGAAATGCAAACGGAAACCACAGGAAGGCCCGGAAAACCCACGTGGATCAGGCCGAGCAGCAGCAGGGACATGCGTGCCCAGCGGGCGGGGCTGCAAGGCCGTGCGGCCACGGGGGAAACCGTCTGGAGATTCCTCAGGAAAACTCCCTGTAGAGTTAAGATTAAAGGCAGAATTTTACCAGCCGAGGCAGTCATCCCACCCCTGGGGCTACAATGAGCCACGTTCACGGCGACATCACTCGCAACAGCAGAAACAGGGAGCTACCCTTGTGCCCGGCAGCCCACAGGCACCGCACAAAACCCAGCCGTCAGGTCCAGTGGGAAGCCGTCCAGCTCTGTAAAGAATGGGGATTCTGACACTCGCTGCAGGTGGGTGGACCTGGAGAACATTAAGCTGAGTGACCTAAGTCAGCGCCCAGAGTTAGCCACAGAGCGGCCGCTGTCCGACTGGGAGGAGGTCGCGGGGGTTCCTGTCGAGTGAGTTTCAGTTTCTCAAAATGAAACAAGCTCTGGTGTGACTGTGTAACAAGAAGTGCCGCTGACTGTATACTTAAAAAGGCAGGACAATCCATGGGTGTTTATCACCACACAAAACGGGGGGAAAGGCCTTACAGATCAGTGGAAAACAACCAGCCATCGGGAACACCGGGAGATCACCAGCCGGCAGGTCACAGTGAAGCCACGATGGCCCACGATCAAACAGCGTGCAGTGTGCAAACCAGACACACAGGACACTCGGGCTGGCAAGGGCCAGTGCGGGTCCTCCCCTTCCTCCTGGGGCACCTGACAAGGGGCTGGGAGGCACCAACACTCTTCAGACCCTCAGCCCCAGAGTCTGCCCGTCTGGGAGCTGGTCCTCCACCCCACCTGCTCACAGCAGTATCTGCAGCAGGTGTATCTGCAGTAGGGTGTCTGCAGTAGGTGTGTCTGCGGCAGGTGTGTCTGCACCAGGTGTGTCTGCGGCAGGTGTATCTGCACCAGGTGTGTCTGTACCAGGTGTATCTGCACCAGGTGTGTCGGCAGTAGGTGTGTCTGTAGTAGGTGTGTCTGCACCAGGTGTGTCGGCAGTAGGTGTGTCTGTAGTAGGTGTATCTGCACCAGGTGTGTCGGCAGTAGGTGTGTCTGTAGTAGGTGTGTCTGCACCAGGTGTGTCTGCACCAGGTGTGTCGGCAGTAGGTGTGTCTGTAGTAGGTGTGTCTGCACCAGGTGTGTCGGTAGTAGGTGTGTCTGTAGTAGGTGTGTCTGCACCAGGTGTGTCTGCACCAGGTGTGTCGGCAGTAGGTGTGTCTGTAGTAGGTGTGTCTGTAGCAGGTTTGTATCTGCAGCAGGTGTGTCTGCGGCAGGTGTGTCTGTAGTAGGTGTATCTGTAGCACGTGTGTCTGCGGCAGGTGTGTCTGCGGCAGGTGTGTATCTGTAGTAGGTATATCTGCACCATGTCTATCTGCACCAGGTGTGTCTGCACCAGGTGTGTCTGCAGCAGGTGTGTCTGTAGTAGGTGTGCCTGTGACAGGTGTATCTGTAGCAGGTGTGTATCTGTAGCAGGTGTGTCTGCAGTAGGTGTATCTGTAGCAGGTGTGTCTGCGGCAGGTGTATCTGTAGCAGGTGTGTACCTGCAGCAGGTGTGTCTGCAGTAGGTGTGTCTGTAGTAGGTGTACCTGTAGCAGGTATGTGTGTACCAGGTGTGTATCTGCAGCACGTGTGTCTGTGGCAGATGTGTATCTGTAGTAGGTGTATCTGCACCACGTCTATCTGCACCAGGTGTGTCTGTAGTAGGTGTACCTGCAATAGGTGTGTCTGTGGCAGGTGTGTGTGCACCAGGTGTGTATCTGTAGCAGGTGTGTCTGCAGCAGGTGTGTCTGCAGTAGGTGTGTCTGCACCAGGTGTGTACCTGCAGCAGGTGTGTCTGCAGCAGGTTGTATCTGCGACAGGTACCCCCAGGCTGGCCCACCGTTTGGCCGGGGTGCCCCGGTGCTCTGGCTCTCCCGAGACTGCTGCTCTGTAGTGTGCTCTACACCGGGGCACAGGCCAGGCAGGGGCCCAAGCAGCACCACCCATGCCAGGGGCCCCCCCGCAGCACCAGTCTGCCAAGGAGGCGCAGGAGGGACTCTGACCGTGGGGCTGTGTGTGAGGAGTCTGCCGTCTGTGTTCTTCCAGAAACAACCTCAAGAACTACATGACCCGTTCTCTAAAAAATTTTAAATTGTCATTTATCTGAAAAACAGAGACGGCCAGCCTGCATCCACGGGCTCACTCCTCAAACGCCTCCAGCAGCCAGGGTCGGGCTGGAACTCAATCCGAGTCTCCCACGTGGGTGACAGGGACCCAAGTCGAGCCATCACCTGTTGGCACCAGCAAGAAGGCGCAGGCGGCAGAAGCTGGAATCAGGAGTGGAGCTGGGACCCGAGCCCGGGCACTCAGGCGATACCGGCCTCCCAAACTCACTGCTGCACCAGACCCTTGCCCACTTCTGTCCCTGGGACCTGGCTCTGGACTCTAGGGGGGTGGGCTGAGCCACTCCCGAGCTGAAGCCCGGCGGATCTCTCCCCATCCTGGGCTTCGGGAGCCTTGGACCGCCCCCAGCTCCCTACAACACAAAGACCTCATGCCCACCCCCCTCAACAGACTGCCTGTGTTTGCAGTGGCCCCACCCCTGTGGCCATGCTTGCCTGGGGCAGGCACTCCCTCTGACCAGGAGCCTGCTGGGATCCGCATGGGCAGAGGGGCAGCAGCCCTGGACACTGGCCAGCAAGACCCCATGCTGGGTCCCTGCGTGCCTCCTGTGCCCCCAGCGCCCTGGCCCACTCCCAGTCCCAGCCTCCTGCCTTCCTGCTCCGGCCCCAGTGCCTGTGCCGCCTCCAGCCTCTGTGAGACCAGGCACGGCACAAATGCCGAATGCCGATTTGGTTAAATAAGCTTGAGCTGGTCTCTCCCAGCTAGAACTACTTTGTCCACAGAAACCAGGGAGACCTGCTGTGGGGCTCGGGCCCCCCAGGTGAGTGCTGGCTTCGCAGGGAGGGTCCTCCCAGAGCCCACCCCCTGCCCTGTGGGGCCCCCGCCCCAGGGCCTCCACTACAGGCTCAAGGAGAGCCAGGGTGGGTGTGGGGCCTGGCCCAGCAGGGCAGCGGGTGGGGGCACCACCAACCCGAGTTCCCACTCACCTTCTGAGCACCCCTCACTCTGCCCCTGAGGGTGCAGGAAGAAGAGCGACTCCCTCCCTCAGAGGAGCGCCCAGGGGGCGACTTAGGCTGCTCAGCCGCCCCCTCCCCAAGATGCCCCCCAGGCCAGAGGGAAAGCCAAACTCCAAGGTCTGACAGGGACTGAGCCCCCGCGGCGCTCAGTGGGCAGGAGGTGCCCCGCGGTCGCCACGGGTCGCTCCCTCCCCAGCCAGGCTGCCCCCAAAGGCTCAGCGGAGGGGCGTCAACGCCCCTCCGCTGGGGACAGCTGGGGCTGTCCGGCTCACCCCGCTGCGCCCGCAACCCCGAGCCTGCGTCCCCTGGCTCGGAGCCCGCGCCCCGGGCCCCGCGCGCCCTCCGGGGGGCCGCTCACCGGTCGGCGCGGCGCCGTCGCTGCACAGGTCCGCGGAGGCTGCGGTGCCGACGGCGAGACGCGGCGGCGGGAGGGCACGGCGGGCGGGGCCGCGCGCTTTATACCCCGGCCCCGCCCGCCTCGGAGCGCCGAGCCACGCGGCCACCGGGGGGCGCTGCGGGCCCGCGGACGCTCGGGCGCGCCTAGTCGGACCCCGCCGGGACCCCCGCCCCTCCTCCCGGGCCGCGCTGGGAGGACCGCGCCCCGCACCCAGGCCGGATGGGCGCGTCTCCCGGTCTCCGGGCCCAGCGGCCCTTGCTTAGGCCGGCGCGGGAGGCTGAGTCCGCGCTGGCTGCGGGACGCGCCCCGCTGTGCGCCCCTGGCCGTGGGCACGGGGCCGATGAAGGCGCCTGTGGGGAGGCTGAGGGCGGCCCGGACAGTCCGAGCCTCGGGTGCTGCTGGGGCTGGTGTCCCGGCTCCCCGCAGGGCTTTCCCTGGAGGTGGGGGTGCAGCAGGGCTGGGCCAGGGCCGGGGTCCGGGCAGCCTAGCATGGGGCTGCTCTGCACAGGAGGGGTTTTGCAAATCTGACGTGGGCCCGGCTGGGCCTGCCCGCGGTCTGTCCATGGTGAGGCGCCCAGGTGGGGTCTGCGAGATGGCTGAGCCTTCAGCATGCCCAGGGTGGTGGGCGGCACCTTCCCAGCGAGAGAGGACCACGCAGCCAATGGACAGGACGCCCCTGAACGCCCCTGCCTGCGCCCCAGAGGCCTGCACCCTGCGCTGGGCACCTGTCTGCTCCCATCCTCAGAGCCCCTGCCTTCTTTTTTTCTTTTTAAGATTATTTATTTGAAAGTCAGAGTTACACAGAGAGAGAAGGAGAGGCAGAGAGCGAGAGAGAGGGAGAGAGGTCTTCCATCCGCTGGTTCACTCCCCAATTGGCCGCAATGGCTGGAGCTGCGCCGATCCGAAGCCAGGAGCCAGGAGCTTCTTCTGGGTCTCCCACATGGACGCAGGGGCCCAGGCACTTGGGCCATCTTCTATTGCTTTCCCAGGCCATAGCAGAGAGCTGGATGGGAAGTGGAGCAGCCGGGACTTGAACTGGCACCCATATGGGATGCTGGCATTGCAGGTGGCGGCTTTACCTGCTAAGCCACAGCGCCAGCCCCAGAGCCCCTGCATTCTGTGCCCACTCCACTGTCCACAGCCCAGCCCTCTCCAGGCAGTGCCAGCCACACCTGTCCTGCCCTGCAGCCTTCCCAGTGGGAGTGGGTGCTGGGGGCTGGGGTGGGAGTATGCATGTTTGAGGCTAAGTGTGCCTGTGTGTCAGAACTGTGTGTGAACAGAAGACCCAGGCCAGCTGCTTGAGAGCAGGGAGACCCCCACCAAACCCCTCCCACCAGCCCCTCCCCCTCCCCTCCCACCAGCCCCGTCCCCCACTAGCCCCTCCCCCTCCCACCAGCCCCCCACCAGCCCCGTCCCCCACTAGCCCCTCCCCCTCCCACCAGCTCCCTACCAGCCCCCACCTCCCTCCTTCCTTTGCAGGGGTTGCCCTGGGCAGAGGGCCACCACGGCATCTGGCTGCCTCCCCTGGCTCCCTCACAGGCACGGGCCGCATACGCCTCTCGTCACTCCTACCACCACTGCCTCGCCTGCTTCTTGGATCTGATCAGCAAAGCACAGCAGGAGGAGCGGAGAGCGTGAGGCAGGGACCATCGCTGGGGGTGTCGCCAGGGTGACCTGTCAGCTGCAGGGGACGCTGGGTTGGCCACCGCCTGGCTGCACTGAGGGCCCTGCAGAGGGGTGGGGGCCGAGGCAGTTAAGCCCACGGGGGGCTCAGTGTGAGAGCCTGAGGGCCTCTCGGGCAGCTGGAGGGAACTCCCACCTCCCACCTGGAGGGGCTGGGGCTGCACAGACGGCAGTGAGGAGCCCCTGCCCCGGGCGTGTCTGGGGCTCGGCCAGGTCCAGTGAGTGTCAGGACCCTGAGCGTGGGCTGGGACGTCGTGTGGAAGCCCAGGAGGCGGCTGTACAGACCCTGGCCCCTCAGAGCTTGTGGGGGTCCTCCCGTCCCTCCTCGATGGAGGCCATCCTAGCCACCCAGCCAGTGACTCGGGGAAGTCCAGGGCCGCTCGGCTGGGACCTGCTGGACCTGCTCAGGGGGGAGGGTGGTCGTGTACCCCACGAGTGGCGAGAGCGATGGGCAGGACCTGCAGAAGCCGGGACCCACGGGCCTGGGTTCTGAGGGCGCTTTGTCCGGACGCAGGTGGAGACTGGACGAGCACGGACTAGCGGCTGCCTTCACAGAACGGGCTTCAACTCCGTGGCGAGGACTTTAGGTCGGCGCAGACTCTGCCGTGGGGCTGGTGCTGGGCACGGCGGACACGGCACTGCCGCCCTGGCTGAGGGCAGGGCCTACACAGCAGCCCAGCCCTTTGCTCCCTTGTTGAACTCGAGCCGGTTTTCCCGTCTGGAACCCCGATGGCAGAGGCGGCCGGGTCTCAGGAGGGAGGGCCCTGTGGCACGCGTCCTGTTGGGTCCTAGAGCTGGGGAAAGAGGCAGCCCGGGCCCCATGAGGACAGCTGGGCACAGGACCCCAGTGGCCACTGATTCCTAGAGCCGCAGCGTGTCTCCCTCGCCTGCCGCTGGGGCAGCTAACGAAGGGGTCGAGGCCGAGGTCTTGGCTGTGGAGGACCTGGGCCAGCAGGCCACCCCCACACGTGGGGGCAGTGAGTGTGAGGTACCTGGTGCCCCTCCACGGCCAAGGCGGTGACCCGCGGCAGTGCTCAGCCTGGGGGCAGGGGTGGGGCCCTGGAGAGCACTCGGGCTCCCCTGGTGGTGGCCCCGTTGCGCTGCGGGGTTGGATGTGGCACCCCCGCTGCAGCAGACCGGGAGGCCTTTCACAGCCCTTGCTTTGTTTTCCATTGCAGCGGGGGAAGAGGAGCGGGAGGGACAGCAGCACTCACACGGCCACACCGGGGTCATGCTGACCCGCCCCTGTCCCGACGCAGCCTGCCCTGACCACCTGGACATCCCACGGGGCGGGAAGGGGAGGAGGAAGCTGGGGTGCCGAGGCCCCGTGAGGCAGGAGGTGAGCTCTGGGAGAACCCAGGGACCCAGGTCAGGGCTGTGCTGGGCTTCCCACCAGAACAAGGGACAGGCTGCTGCGTCGCACCCCCGCCTTTCTAGTTCTGGAGCCAGTGCAGTCCACTTGCCACACGGCCTGTGGCTTCCAGTGGCCAGGAGCCCGAGTTCCCGTGGAGTGGCCCTGTGGCCCAGGCCCATGGAGCTGGAGGTCTGGTGTGCAGAGGCCAGGTCAGCTCTGCTCTGGCTGCCCAGCAAGGTGGGGGAGGGTGCTGCCCTCAGAGGCTGCCCGTGTCGGCACCTTGGGGTTCCTGCAGGGGAGGCTGGGAGCTTGCTTTGGGGTCTTGGTGGGCCCCTGCCCCTGCTGCCCTGTGGCTCCCCTGGGGGTCTGGGTAACAGCTGTGGGCATGGGGCCCTGCGTGTCCGGTTTCTGCTTGTCTCTCAGTGGTCACGATGGCGGCAGTTGCACATGGCGGCTCAGCCCACAGGGGCCAGCAGGTGGGTGGTCGTGGACTCCCGATTGGCCTCCTAAAGCCTGCCCAGGTCTGCGCAGGAACGGAGGCCAGGGCCTGGGTCACCTGCCCAAGCCTGCGCGGCTGGCCTTGTGAGGCTGAGGGTGAGGACGCTGCTCCTGTCCCTCGTGTCTGTGGGGCAGCGCCTGGCAGAGTGGGCCCAGGCTGGGGTTGTAAGAGGCAGCAGGTTCCATGGCCCCAGGCGGTACGTGGGGTCCCTGAGGCGTGCAGCGGCGGGACTGGAACTCCGTTCTCCGGAAAACCCAGGCAGGCTCTGCAGAGACAGCCTCGGAGCGCCCGGCCCGGCCTTTCCTGCCCCGGGGCGTGGGCAGGTGTCCTCTGTGTGTCTCTCGAGCACTGGCTCTGAGCGCAACCCTGTCCTCGTCCATTCCAGGCTGCCGTGGGTGGTGCTTATCTTCCAGGACCCTGCAGCCCCCTCAGCTCCAGCCACTGCAGTCCGCCCTATCTTCTGGGCACCATCCCACTCGGGCCCCGTGGGGTTGGCCGCCTGGCCTCGCTGCGGGGCAAGACCCGGGGCGGTAGCGCCGACTAGCAGGGCAGGGCCGTGGTCATGTGACTGCTGTGTTTCTGCTGCCTTCAGTCTTGTTTTGGGGGAGGGGGTAAGAGGGGGCCGTGCAGAAGGCTGGTGGGTAACTCAGCACCACAGGGTGGACGAGGGGTCCTGCCTACAGCGTCTCAGGCCGTGGGAGGCCCCGTGGGACAGTGGGGAGAAGTCTCTGTGGCCTTCCCATGTCTGGATGTGGGTGCCTGGAGTGCGCTCTTGGAGTTGACCCAAAGGGTGCTCTCGCCCCACCCTCAGCTCCCGGCCCTCTCCTGGGGCAGCTCGGAAAATGGTGACAACCCTCCCTCCCACCCCCAGGAGTCAGTGTGCGTCACAGGGCGGGGCTCGGAGCCTTGGGTTTAGGCTTTCAACCCCCAGCCACCTCATTTTTCTGACCGTCTCTCCCCGAGGTCTTGGTTGCTGGACACTTGTGTCTTTGTCTTTCAGTTTTATGACAGTGCCAGAGCTGTGAGTGTGGCGTGGACGACTGTTTACATTTCCCTGGGCGAGGACATCGGGGTGGCAGGTCGGGGACACGGGCGGCCGGGAGAGGGCTGCTGCCTCGGGAAAGTTCCTGCGACGCCAGCCTCCAGCAACCACGGGGTCCTTTGTGGCCCCAGTGTCCGGCCTTGGGTGGAAGGGTCATTTCCCAGAGAGGGGACGCTGCCTGCGGGTCTGGGGGTCCCGCCTGGGTGGAGGGAAGGGGCAGGGTGGGAGGAAAAGCCCGGGTCTTAACTTCCTGTCCAGTGGTATTTTCCCTCCCCCGCCTCTGAGAGTTTCCAAACTGCCTGCGGATTGCAAAATACCACAGCGTATCTGTGCCTCGGCCACCGCTGCCTCTCCTCTGGCCGGGCTCACTGAGCGGAGTCCCTGGCACGTCCTGCCACCCCCTGCTCCGCCTAAACGGGGGCCAGCCTGGCCTGCTTGGGATGAGGCCATGCCAGCCGCACAGCCAGGGTCTGCCCAGAGGGCAGGCCCCCAAAGTCTGGGCTAAGCCTGGCATGGTTTCCAGGGAGCACGGCCCACTTGT